CCGCCCTGGGCGGTGCCCGGCGCCGCTCCGGCCGCCGCCCGCAGCGCCCCCTGGCGGCGGGGAGTGCCGCGGCCGGTCCCGGCTGCGGCGGAGGCGGGCGAGGTCCCGGTTTTGGGGGAAATCTCCGCTTTTCAATCATTGCCCTCAAATTGCCACCCCGATTCTCACACCCGGCAGCACCCCGCTCCACCGTGCTCCGTCGGCTCCAATGCCGCCTTTACAGCTGCCGATATTTAACCGCGCTGCACTGAATAGCTCCATGCAAAGACACCCCTTCCAGACACTGGAGTATTTTACTGAGATAAAAAACCAAAGTGCGACAGCTGGAAATATTCGAAGACCTGTTTATTATATCATTGGCATCATCTTTACCACGAGCCTTTCAGGTTTTGGTTATCTTGCTTGTTTTTAACCATTTGAGCTACATCATCATGAAAGCCTAGTGCTAATAAGGTAACTAAACTTCCCCATAGTAAATTAACTATCAATTCATCATCCCTTTATCAGAATAGATAAAAAATACAAATGAAATACTAAAGCTATCACTGAAAAAAATCAAGTTACTAAGGCTTTCACTAAAGCTTTCTATAAAAACTGCCACATTTCACATGGGGCCAGGGATGTCCTTAAAATCACTCAAGAAATGACAAGCAGAACCACACGCTGCCTTTTCTACCCAGAAATGTTGGTATTTCCACAAGCTGTTTATTTCCCACAGAAATGTTAAGTTTCCCTGCTCTCTGCAGCAGTATTTAACCATACATTTGGTTTTCTATCACACACACCCCCATTTTTCCCCACCTACAGCACCATAAACACACAACAGAATGTTTTACCTGCTTTAAACATTTCACTGATTAAGAGGAAACAAAGTCAGATAGAACAACATTAACACTTACCAGTTTCTGACACAAAATACTCATTTTAGCAATATAGCCTTTTTTTTAATGAATGGTATAAAGCAAACTATAAAAAGATTCAAACAGAAAGCCAAGTCACATGTTACATAAATCACATGTTCAAGAAGGTTAAATTAAAATAACCAAACACATAAATTTTACAGATAAAGATTTTGTTAGCTATGTGAGCATTATGTTAAAAAAAAAAAACAACAACAACATAATAAAGTTATCAAATTCCATGTAATTTAAATTGACAAAGCTTAACATCTCTGGCAGGGAATGTTATCACTGAAAACCATGAGTCCAAGCCCATCTAAATTCTCTCGGGGCTGGTACTGCTGTTACCTCACTGTTAATAATGCTGCTCTGCAACATTTCCCAACCAAGTCCAAAAGACTCCTGAAAGATGTTATTTTGTCTTTGGTTACATGTCTTTGTTTTTTTCTCGCCTCTGTAAAATGGAGATAAAAGAGAAAGTATCAAGACAAACAGACACAAAACACTGCACTGATTAGTAGAAAATTAAATGCTGCTTACTTGTAACTGTAACCTGTAGTATTTCTTGGAAAGATCAACACTTGTCCGTCCTTTCTGAAATGGATAAGACCACAAAATTAAATTCCAGTGATTACCCATTTTTTTCACTCCACTCAAAAGCCAGTCAATTTCTTCAGTCGTGAAATCTTTTCGGGTTCTTCTTCTCTTGCTTGCAGTTCTTGTGTTGTTGTCCAGGGAACATGTTTCATTGTTCTGAAAATATTTATTTTGGCGTAATTAAAAATTATGTCAGTTTACGTTCTCTTTCCCATTTGGAAGTAACACTAAAGGTTGATACCTTTAGTATATTTATTTCTTTAGGTTTCTGTTATTTCTACAGAATGTGCAGTTTTCATTAGGGCAGGAGAAAGTGTACATCCATATTAAATTACTCAGAAAAGACCGTCAGTTGGAAAAGGCTTAACTCGTTTCAGGGATAAATCAGTGTGACTGGAGTGGGATCAACAGAGAGGAATCTCTTTTTAATAAGGTTCACTTTGCTACTGGGCTCCTGCTATAAAGGTGACTTCACAAGAAATCATTTTATTTGAGCATTTGTAAAGACGTGAGTGTAGGATTAGGCTTTGTGTCACTAACCTCAGCTCTGTCAAGTGAGGATGGGCAATTTTCTTTTAAGCGCTGACATCGCGGGCTGCACATTTCTCTGACTCTCTGTCTCCTCAAGTTAGCCTCTTGGGATTTCTGGAAAGCTATGAAATTGTGAACAAGGCCACCTCTTAGTTACTTTAACTGACGTCTACTGTAAAACTGAATATAGTGTTGTAAAGGAGCATTTCTTCTAATGAACTGGAACATGTTATGTATCATAAGTAATATATGACTATATTATTAGAGTATCTCATTTTCATTAACTCTTTCTCTCATCCTTGACCTTAACACGCGAGGACTGTTTATGCATTGGAAGCAACTGTCAGATAACAGGAATCAACTCAAACATCAATAATTCTATGATTGAAGGCACAAGAATGTATCTATTTAAATTAGACCCAAACGCAAAACTCGATCCTTAATTTATGCCTATTACAGAATTAAATTTCAGTAATACTCACGCTTTTCATACGTAGGTATCAAGTTATAGTTGTCAGCCAACCTAGTATTTTTACTACATGCATCTCTATTTGAAGTATCAGGTTTGTTTTTTCTAATTGGAGTCAAAAGAATACCTTAAAAAAACCCAAACAGTAAAACATTATGCATCTTTCTCAAAAAAAAACCCACCACAAAACCAACACAAAACGCATGTAACATTTTAGGAATTAAAAATTAAGAGAGAAACATCTTTTGAGTCGTAGTGCTGTCTGGCCTTGGCAGAAAGACTGGAAAATTCAGTTTACTTCAGAAAATGTTAACTTGCAATACATTAGTGAAATGGGGTTTTGAGATGGAAGAAAGTTGGGTGGTTTTTTAAAATTTCAGAAGACCTCAATGGCTATCATAGACAAATTAATTAATTTCTGAATCGGAATGATGCGGAATGATAAAAATAAAATCCCAATGGGTGGACTGATTTTTTTAAAGAGAATATTTTTACAAGTGATATTAATGTTTTAGAATTTAAGTACTGGCTTAGAGAGATGCTTCAGCCTACTTAAAAAATTCTAGTCATCAATCATAAGAACAGTTCTGGTTACAAGTTGGTGAACGTAGTAATGTATGACTGTAGCTGGAGCTCTGCAGGATGGACCCACAAACACCACTTTCTGAAGAAAATTCCTTGTGAATTATGTAAAAAGTATCTATCTGCAGAGTAAGGAAAACATTTATAACCATTAACTTTTTTTGCTAATTACAGAGTAAAATACTGTAAAAGATATGTACTCTGCTATTTACAGTGGACAGTTGTGTATCAGAAGGAATACCAGTTTTCTGGCAACTGATGGCTCAGTAAACACAGGGCTCCTAAATTGCAGGGTAAGGGCTTTTCACATCCGTTTCCAAACCAAGCCCTTACTTTGGAAATTGTCCCTTTTGCTCCTACAAATTGACATTTCTGCACACAGTCCTCGTTTCTTCACTGGGGTCAGCAGTATTTCTGGAAAATATAAGATGGACACCAGTATAAATGCCAGTAAGTAATAACTGTTTACTTTTCAAAACACCTCCTTTAAACCAGAAAAATATATGATGCACTTTTATTTAATTTGTTAAAAATTATAAGCCATTATACATCCATCAATGTGTAATATTAGAATGAAATGACCTTGCTATGACATCATACATCCATTCACACTTATTTCAACTTAGTATCTTCCCTTCTATTAGCACTTGACTAACTTTGGCAAATGGGACAGTCTCATCAAATCCTACAGTGAGGATCTATCACTGCTGCCCAGAAATACACAAGATCCTCAAAAGAAAAGGAGCTAGTTCTGATCTGGCTTAGTACAGATCACTGGTAAATCAAATTCAATGAATGATTTTACAAGAGCAGAGCAATCAGAAACAGACCAAAAAAAGGTCAGAATTTTAAATATGATTTAAAACAGTAGTTACAGCTACTAACAAAAAAAAATCACAACTACTCTCATAAGTTGCATATTTACTGTTACAAACAGCTGATTTGCGAAGTTCATTTTTATATCTTTCTTCAGCTTCCAGAATGACTTTGTGACGGTCACACTGGTATGGGCAACTTTGCAACATCTTGGTAAAGGTTCTACTGTTGAAGGAGAGTCCTCCTGCTGTACAACCTGGGGAAAAGAAAAAGCTACTGTAGAAACAGGAAACATGAACGCTATGGAAGCCATCACAAAGGCCAGCATTTTATTTTCCTCCAGTTTTCCATATACACATCTCAAAAGAGGTTATACTTTTATGTATCTTGTTGAAAATACTTCTTGCTTTGTACTTGCTCTCTAAAAAAAAAAAAAAAGTTTTCAACATGACAAGGTTATGCCGCACTTCCACTCCAGAAGTACTGAATGAAGTACAGATGCTCTACAGAAGTAAAAATATTAGTGGGACGGGAAGAAAGGGGCCTCAGTTCCCTTTGCACGTTTATCCAGGGGCCAAAACACACAAGATGTCTTTGCCATACTTTGAAACGTTCTCTGTGTTGTAGCAGGTCTCTGTATTGACCTGAATAAATGACAAGTCTAGTTTAGGTATGAATTTCCTCACAGGAAGCCTTCCTGCTCATTTTTGAGGACATTCCTAGGGTAATTTATGGCTTAGTTATTCTTGGATGTTCTCACAGTTGGTTACGTCAGCTGAAGGAGAAGTTCTGCACTGTGAGGAATGGTAAGAAGGGCACCGATACGTATCTGCCATATTCTAGCCCAAGATAGAGCAGTGGTAAAGCTCAGATTGAATTTAGTTGGACAACTTGGGTTCACAGAAGTATTAACATTTCTGTAATGTCAGTTCACTTAATGCATTGCTGACTTTTAAAGCTTCTTTTATGGGCTCAGGAAATAAAGACCTAATATAATATTTACCTATACACCTGAAATTTGGCATTTTATGGGATGCAGATGTAGTTGAAGTACTTTTTTCTTCCCTGGTTACCTCCGAGTGGAATGCATATTGATCTAAATTAGGAAGGAAAAAAAATCCCACTAAGAAAATGGAAGCTCTCCTTTGTAGTGGTAATCACACATCAGCATACCTATATTCAACTGTATTTTCTATCTGTAGATTATTAAAGTTTAATTTACATAACAGCAGACAATCCAAATGAAGTTGCTGAAGTTAAATGGATCGCATTTACATTTTTGTAAATCCAGAATAATTACATTAAATTCAGTGCCTTTTTCATCTCCCAAAGCATATTACTTCAACTTGAACACAGCAAAATAGCCCCGTAAACTTACACTGCTTAACTAAGCTTTATAAATTTTATTTCTATTTGGAATTAGATGCTGAAAAATGTGACGTACTGGACTAATACTTATTCTCTATTTAAATAGAGAAATCCAGAGATCAGCTTGGTCACCTGTAAAGCTACCATTCTGGGAAATACTAATCTAATGAATAATTATAAATCTTATAAATTAACAGGAAACTAAATTATGAGTAAAGATTTGGTTGAACAGATAGCAATCCTGAAATAAATAGATCTGACTAATGGTCAATGCAAATCTGAAAAACATTTATCTTAAACACACATGCAACATGGAGGGATAGGTTCAGGCAGAAGTCACTCTCACAGGTAGGTTCTATCCCCAGTCTTACAAGTACAGAATAAACTCAGCATCCTTACACATTTTCTATTAAATTACTTTCATTGTCCAGTATGAATTGCTTTCAGACTAAACTTAAAGTATTTATCTGTGATACTTTCATTTGAATAGTTAAAATCAATTAAAAAAAAAAAGAAAGCTAAAATATGTACTAGAAGAAAAGCAGAATAAATATTCTGGTAAAAATGTATACAATATAAAATCCCACCACTATGCAAAGAGTTAAAGGATATTATACATAATGTACTCTGTCATCTAACGATGTATACCATCTGATAAAAAGGAGTGATAAAAGTACACAAAATTAATGAAAATCTCATTAAGAACAAAATTGTTTAAGAAAGGAATGTTTAGGTATTTGTACCTGATTTGCACGTCTGTTTCGTATTTTTAACAATCTCTGTTGGTTTTTTAAATAAGTGGTCACTGAAAGATCAAAACGTGAACAAATTAAAAAAATAATCAAGCTTGACAATGTACATTTACCTGTAAATTAATACACACAGTCCAGAGGCAAAACAAAATACATATTAAATATATAAAAGATAAAACTCTAAAAAATTGGTTCTAATTATCCCAAGTTACTGGGCTTCCAGTATGTTCTGTTCCAGCATTTGGAACGCAGCGCTTTTCAGAGTCATTTGCAATTCTGGTTCATCTGAGGATTACTTAGTGCACATAAAACTTTCACAAAGTCTTCAAAGTACTGTAGCTTTCACCAGATGTAGGAATTGCTCTAAAGTAGTAATTGATTTTCTTCTTTTCTTACACTGATTAACTTTTATGCAACCAACATGCTCCAATGATACACGTGGCCTGTAACAGGCTCTATACAATCCGTCAGAAGCCCATCATTCAGAGAAAAAGATCAGAAGCTTTTATTACTACAGGGTCTATAACCTTTGATCGTGATATCAAAAACACTTCCACAGAATATTCTGTAGTGAGCCACCAAAAGGCTGTGTCTTTTCACTGGGAGGAACAGACATAGACAGTAACAGTTAATTTCAAAGGCCCACGTTCAATTTGGAAATTGCTGAAGAAAAGCAACTTAATATTTCTGTTTAGGTGTAAGGCACTTACCTTACTTGAAGAATAGACTGATTTTGTACACAAGCAGGATTTTTGTTTATACTGTGACTTTGAAGTACACTGTCTCTTTGCAGTTCATTAACTGAACAAGGAATATTTCTCTGTTCACTCTGACTAGTAGAAGCATTTATTGGATTCATAGCATTCCCAATTTCATTTGTCAGTGAAGAAGAATTTACAGATGGAGGAAGAACCTGATCATCCGACTTAGAGGTCAACTGTGGGCAATGTACTTCTTTATGGGTTCTTTCTATATAAGATTTGGGATCAGCAGGATTCACTTCATGGTGTTCTGATGCTTCAGTATCGTCTTCTGAAGATCTGTCTACAAATACTCTTCCTTGCATTCTTTCCTGTATTGAAAAATACTAGTTAGGGACTACTATAAAAATATTAAATAAACCTAGTTTCAAGATTAACTAGGACAGACCAGTCTAATTCTGAAGGTAAAGCAAATTCCAGAGAAGCTTCAAAACCCCAGACTGAAGTTGTGAGCCAACAAGACAGCAGTGCTGCTGGAGGTGTTCAAGGGGCAGTTACTAAGTGAGAGTTCCAGGCTGAAGCAATGGATTTGCTACTAACAGAATCATAGGATCACATAGGTTGGAAAAGACCTTTAAGGTCATCGAGTCCAACCATTAACTGAGCACTACCAAGTCCACCACTATCCCATGTCCCTCAGCACCACCTCTACGCATCTTCTAAACACCCCCAGGGACGGTGACTCCACCACTTCCCCACGCAGCTGTTCCAATGTTTGACAACCCTTTACAAAGCACTTCTAGAAATGAAGAGATTAATTAACTTAAGATCCAGCTAAATAACTCAAAAACTGGCTGCTCCTCACCCAGAGATACCAAGTGGTTATACAACACAAGGAAAATATGAAACAACTTTATTTCAGTTTATGTTCACATCTTCCGTTACCATCTCTGCCATCACAGCTGTACAATCACGGGCATTTCAAGCATGCAAATAGTAAAATTATAGGTTCAAATGATCAGCAATTAAAAATAAATCCCACTCCTTTCTCCAACCTAAATGATCTCAATTTTGTAGAAAATCTGTTTTTATAATAAACTAAAATGCTTCATAAAAATACAGGTGCCTGCATTCCCTGATTGCCCTGCATATTTCTAACTTTGATGATACACAGTAGTGGTGAAAGTTGCAGGTTGTAGTTTCACACACATCCAATGTTTTCCCTACTTTTTGAGCTCACACTGAAATTATCTCAAGGGTTTACTTTCTATTTCTCCCTAAACTCTGGAAAGATTTGCTTAGTTTTATCTTACTACAGTAAATAGGCCAACCTCATCACGTTCTTTCTCAATCAAGTTTATTCTGTGTAAAATTTCTTTTGCTTTCTTCCAGTAGTCTTGTAGAGTTCTTCTTCTGACTTGCACATCCAACTCTTCTGCATTGTTCACATTTAATGAATTACCATTTATTTTGAGGGACAATTGTTCAGCTTTATAAAACAAAAAAAAAATCTTAATATTCCAAATTCTAATCAATTAACACCTTGATAAGTATTCATTATATTTTAGTATGCTGAGGGACAGCCCCATTAATTTAATGCAAAATTAATATTTTTATATACTTAAATTTACACATAAGATGTTAATACACTTAAAATATAAACTGCAGCTATAAGAGGTGAGTTTGCAGTTACACTTAGTATAAGCTTTTTATAAAATAAAGCTGTGCTCTAAAAAATGACTTAAAGAACCTATACAGTTAGGATTAAGTTAATAACCAGTATGGGTCTTTGTTTTTATAAAAAAACATATTAATGGACACTGAAAATCATCACACCCCCTCAATCTTAAGCAAAACTCTGTTACGTTTTCAGTCAAATAATGTGGACACATGCTTTTTGCTAATTATTGATTGCATAACACCTTCCATGCTTTAGAGATTAAAGGACAAAGTGTCTTTCTGTTTCATCGGTAGTAGTATACAGTTAATTTAAAAAAATTAAACAGGATACTTCAAAATACACCCTACTTAAAAAATAAAGAGCAAGATTTTTTAATATTGCAAAACAATTGTAGTCATGGTGATTTTGGGCTTGATTATCTACTGGTTAATCTCTATATGCAATGGTACATAAAAGGAATAGAGTATCAATCCCACGTTAAATGAGGGTGTTAATATTTTGCATACAATTTATAGCTGGGAAAGCTTTTAAGCCTACATATAGGTTTCACAAATGCATTATTGCAACGTCCTTGGAATTTTTACTTTTCTTTTTTCTGTCCAAATGCCATAATCAGTCCACAGTGGCAAATATGCAACTTTTCTGCAGAAATTAAACATCTCTTGGGAGTACACAAAATTACAAAGCTACTAAAGTTAAGATCACTTAGAAAGTCAACAGAACTTAGAGAGGGAAATAATCTCTGTGATTTTTAAAGCAGTAACAGCAAGCTTACTCATTTGTTTGCAGTTTTGCAGAACAAAAGTAGCAGCTTTATTCAGTTCCTCATCCTGAGACTCGGTTAATACCTGAATCATAAGTGGAAGACCATTGTTCTGGAGCAGTTCACACTGGTTTTCTTCTAAAATAGGACATTTTACAGGAAAACAGATTGGTTTCAGCCTCATACACACTTATCTTACAGTAATTTTAGACACTAATACTAGTAACTTTCAGGGAAATTCTGAAAAAGAGATTTTCATTATGGAGATTTTTGTCATTACAGCATGCTGTAATAACCTACTACCCAGGTTGCACCAGAAGCACTCTAGGTCACACAGGATTATCACACAGCTCAAAATTCTTGTAAGAAAACTGAAGGAGGACTAAACCCAGTGGTACAACAGAGATCCAAACTAATTTAACTGTCATCTAAAATGTTAGAATTATGGCTTCTGTCTTGCTTTTCCTCTGGTATATACTCCAAAATATATACAATTATGTAACATCAAATGCTTAAAGTTTATAATTAGCAAAACTCTAACAAAATTAGTAGTTTAATCTGCTCCTCCTTGACATTTAGAGGATGACAATCACAGTTTTTGAACATAATCCTTTTTTCCTGCGTTTCTGAACATACATAAAAAACCCAGTAGTATAAACAAACAATGATCAGTATCTCACAACTTCCCATTCTGTTTGCTCATACTACCACAAAATACTGACTTTAGTGTTACATTTTCACCAGATACGCTTGAGAAAGCTCTGAGGAGCCTGGCAAAAACAGCTTAGGATTACCTATTGCTTATGTTACTTCAAAAACAATACTGTTTTATAGCTTTTTAAAAAATTAATAGCTATGTAAACAGTATACATACTGAAGCTGTATATTTCAAGGACCATTAACATAGAGCTCATAAATACTTATCTGGTATGTATGTACTGTAGTTTTCAGGCCTGGATGAATTTTACGCTGTGATACCTGGGCCCAGCTCTGAACTCTTGCATAATAGTCTACTTTTGCTAAGTTCTTAGAGATACTGTCTGCTAACAGGTTTTAAAATTTAAAGATGGAACATTATAGCAAACGTTTTTTCCTGAATATTAATATTACATTATTTAATAGAACTTTCCCTCATGTTCCAGTCCTGATGAAATGAAACTACTGAAGTAGTTAGTGTATGAGAATTTAGCAGAAACTGATAAGAAGAAAAAAAATCTTACCACAAACTTCAGTACAGTGTCCAATTGTTAGAATAATACTGACTTTTTCTCCTGTATCCAGAGTGTTGTGGGACAGCAGCTTCAGCAGCTCTGACACAGTGTGATATTTGGTCAACACCACACCCATGGCAGCTAATACATTAAAAATAATTAGAAGAAAAATAAACTAGATAGTAAGTATATAGGCATCATCCAAGTAGAAGATGCTGTTTCTCCTCTAAAAGCATTGGGCCTGCAGAGTCCTCCTCTTCTCTCTCTTTCATTTTAACACTTCAAATGACCACATCCCTCCTGGAGCAGTAATCCTGCCTCACTACTGCCCATATCCAACACTATCCTTTTGCCCCACTTTGGGCTGTGTAGAGATGTGGCAGAAGATCTGACAAACACAGGCTTTGCAATGAGCAAGTTTTGTGGACTACTGCTGAGTTTCTCCACCCCCTTTATCAGCTCCAGAATAGAGCCAGAAAGAGTGGAATAAGGTTTGACACACAGACCATCTGCCACAGAACGAGCTAGGAATGTTTTCTGGCAGCAGGCAACCTCTTCCTGAAATTGGGAACACCACTGCTAGTACATACATGCTGAAACCTAATCCAACTGCTTTGAAACTAGGCTCAAATCTAGTGCAGGTATATGGTTTTTTTGAACCTCTGTTAGTCAGCACTTATGGCAGAAGTGTCAAATCTAATAATCTTGGCCAACAGCAGACTCATCTGGCTCACACGTTTCTCAAAATCTCCTGATGGAGACAGGACACAAAGATCTCACTAGGACAGCACTATCCAGACAGTAAATGAGAGCAAAGATGCAGGCACACTACATTTGCCCAGCTCCACACCTGAGTTACTAAAGCCTCTTATTAGCTTCGGCAGAGGCCTAGAGAAACACAGCTCTATCTCCCGAATCCAAATCGACTGCTGCACTCAGTTCTCAGCTTTCCTTACCCAAAACTAGCTCTGGGATCTTAATTTTCAGTATAGATTAAATTTCACTATGCTTATTTTAGCAACAATGGGACATGGGACAGTAAGCCACCTCAGATGAACTGAATCACTCCCCATATACACGTTTGAATTTTAAAACATCTGCTAGGATGTATATAATTTAATTGCTTCTTAGCACCCATTCATATCACTCTTCCACCAAACCCAGACTTTAAAAATTGCATTTTAAAATTACTATACATAAGAAACGGTAGCAGTCTTTTCACTCACAGTCATTAGCAATGCAGGCGTCCAGAGTCTTTGTTACCACTACTGCAAGTTTTGTGTTTGAGTGACTCATACAGGAATCTTGCATGAGCCTGATGAGAACTTTAGCTAATGTATCCAATCCTCCAACAGAAACAAAATATTTCTGCACATATGCTTAGGGGAAAAAGAAAAAAATGTGTCTTAAATAAGACAAGCTGCAAATGGTTGTAGCATTTTATCAATTAGGCTCATCACAATTTTTCTGTCTATATATTAACCATTACATTTCCACCCATAGAACAAAGTTGGATATATATTAATCTTGAGAAACGTAGTAATTGTCTTACAAAATAGCTACAGGGAAGATCTCACTATTACATGCATATGAACAACAAACATTACGCCCAAGTTCTACCTAAATAATTATTTTCAGAGATGCAATAATGACTTATATTTGTAAAATGCTTTTATTCAAAACAGCTTCCAAATTTTTTACTGAACTTACTAATGTAGCCAGTTGGTGGCTATTTGTGAAATTAAGCCCAATGCAGTGTAAGCAAAGATGGTGGAAGAGTTTTCAGAGAAAAAGGTGGAAAAACAGCAAATGAATTGTAGAGATTGACAAAAAGAAATCAAGCTATTTAAAGTTCGAGCTGCACTTACAGTTATTTGCAACTGTGAGACAAACAAATGAACAAATAGGACGAACTATCTCCGGCTCCGTGGAACTTTCGAGCCACTCTTTGGCATATGGCAAAACTGAACAGCAAATGTTTTGGTTATCTTCTGGAAAAGTAATAACAAATAACCCCAAATCAAAACATAATATGAAATTTCAGTTGAACAGTAAAAGTGAAAACAAACTGTAGTCACTTTGGAGAAATAAACTCATTTCACACAATTTAACAGCACCACTTACCATTCTGAGGGTTGTTAACGCAGGCACAGAGCGTGCTGCAGACTGAAGACCACAGCTGATAGCACTGATTGGTACTTTCATCTGACAGATTCATCTCAGATGTCGAAAGAGTTGTTCTGTTTAGAACAATGCAAACAAGTCCCAGATGGTCAAGCAAACATATGTCCTAAACAGCCTATCATTTTTATATCATTCAGGTAAACAGGCAACTGCTTACCTGAATAACTGCAGCAGAAGACCAATGCAGCCTGTGTCTCTGACATAGGTTTGCCCGCTTTCTAAAAAAGAACACATACAACACTGTGAAGACACATGCAACTTGAGGAAAAATCTTAATGTCAAGTTTAATTTATGTATTTACATTATATTTCCATTTTCTAAGCATATATCCTCCCCCCAAAACAAATACAAAATCAGATCAACACATTGGCAAAAACGTTCCATTTCTTTCTACGTCCATTTTTTTCCATACATTGTCAGAAACTACTGGTTGGCATTATTTATTTTTTTTAATACAAAATCAGATCAACACATTGGCAAAAATGTTCCATTTCTTTCTATACATTGTCAGAAACTACTGGCTGGCATTATTTTTTTTTTGAACTATCATTTCATTTTTAGAATTAAAACACTTTCTGCTACTTAAGGAAATCCCAGTGAGTGGGGATCTACTTAGCCAATTAAGGTTCGGTTACATGCAACCACTCATCTATATAAATTAATTTTACCAAAACATTACTTATTGAGTGTTCCAAATTTCTGTACTGCAGATTGGTAAATAGAATAAAGTGGTGGAAAAAAACCTCAACTTACTATTATTTGAAACCAGTACTAAGATGACATAAACAGACATTCTTTTCAAGTTCATACCAGAATCCTTATTAATTAAAAATACAATAAGGTCTTCAAACAATGCAGAAGTACATAAAGTTTGCTGACAGTAAACTGAAAACAGAAAATAAAAACCATTAAGTCCTAAAGTAAGCCATTCATAACCCTAAATTATTTTTGTAATATAGCAACTAGAGTTTCAATTGTGCCCAGTATGCAGTCAGCAGAAACAGAACAGGACTATAATGTGACTGAGGGCTTTTCCCTGTGGCCAGTTCTAAAGCAGCCAGGACCTAGGCAAAGGTTAGAACAACCTAAGAGTCATTTATCGCTTGTCGCTGAGGCAGAGAAATAGTACAGCTGTGCGGTATCGTAAGGACATGCTGTCTGCACAAATCAACAAGGTACTTATCCAGATCTGGGGATGGACAGTGAAGCAGTGGCACCTTTACTGCCTCTCACTCAAACTGATAATCTTGTGATCTCCTTTTTTGAGAAAAAAAAAAAATGGAGACAAAAAGCAAGCAGAAGTAATAACAAGGGATCATAACTCAGTCAGAAATACAAATAATATTATTACCATTACTCTCTATTATAACTCCTAATGTAAATAAAGCAGCTTCCTTTACTATGCAATGAACACTTGACTTTGCAAGATCATTTATAAACATCAAACCACCAATTTCTCGAAAATATTCACTTGCTTCACCTATAACAGAAAAAAAGAAAAGTTAAAGTTTTGCTTTTGTTTCTCTATAAAATGAAAACCTTCTAAGATCTTATTATTTCTCAAGCCTTATATCCTTTATTTATTTTTTTTTTTACAGTGACAGCCAACTTCTTAACAAATATTGTGAACATAAAATTGCGTTGTTTCTAAGGAAAAATGCTTCTTACTGTTTTGGTGACAAATTGAATAAATGGTGATCAAAGCCTCTTTCTGAGATACAGGGCAGTCCATCTGATACTTAAGGCATTCAAGCAGTAAGTTCAGATCTGTTTTCATATCTAAGAGCAAACACAAAATCTTCATATAAATTGTTATCTTTTCTTTATATTAATCTATTTAATGTTACAATAAACCTAGCCAACAATGTAGTAGGTATATGTATTTTAAGGAAAAAACAAACCAGTGAGCAAAAACGCAGCCAACCCACTTCTATGCATCTATAAATATGAAATAACAAACATACCTAACCTAAAAATATTCCTCTCCATAGTTTGTTTTTTGAGCATTACTTCCTTTGCTAAAGTAACAGTCCCCTTTCAATATTTCCAGTCTTTAATTACTAGTAACTGTTAGTAAATGCGACATAAATTACCAAATATGAAATTCACAATTGCAAGGTGCAATTTAAGTAAATAATACAAAACTATGAAAATATTCAGTGAAAATACAACTGAAAATCTACAGAGAATGGGGAAAGAATCCAACAAAGCAAAGCTTCCTTTATAATATTTAGTTACTGAAAACTTAATTACTTACCACAACTGCTAGAATCTTCAATCAGGTTGTTACCTTAGTAAGTTAACACAGAGCATTTTCTGAGCACCTACATACAACCCTAGGTAGGTAAAACACTTTGAAAATCTGATTCTTAGTCTCTCCGGTATAATAAAAATAAATATTTCATAATTATTTACAACACTAACAGCAAAAGTAACACTTGTAAGATTTGGGGTTTCTTAAAGAAGAAAAAATACAATAAAAAAGTGGGTAAGTATTACCAAAAAAAGTTGACTTTGTGGCAGTATTATTTAGTATCTGAAAGTCTGTCGTTAGATTTGCCATTTAGCTATCCAATACAGAACCCAAAACACTGGCACCAAGGAAGAAGAACGCTTCCCCAACTGCTCACCACCCCACCACAGACCTATCACAGTCTACTGAATATTTGTAAAACTGATGCAGGTAACAAATGACAAATTATATTAGGTATCTTACCACACTGTTTTTTCTGCACCTTTTGAATTTCCATTTTTGGTTGTATCCCTGTTCTTGTTCTACAATGGCAATGAAAAAGTGTTTTCTGTTTGGATTTGCAATGTTCATAATACACACAGGACAAATTTAGTGTTTTTTCTTAAAATACAGTCAAATTTCCTTATTTTACACTTTCATCTGACACACACAGAGTTTACCATGCTCTTGCATGGTAAAGATTTTCCTTGGAAGTACAGAATTTTGTAGTAACACTGCACTTATAACTACTGTGTTGTTACATTTTTAAAGCTAACATTTTGCAGCAATCAGGTGACTCCATGTTACCGTTGTGGGGAACCAAAGATGGCCCTATCATTAAAAATATACCTAGCTTTGTGTCATTTATCACAATAGATCTGATCCAGTTTTCCTTAAAATTGGTTGCCAACTTAGTGCCAGTTGTTGGCTGATGATGAAGACCAGCAGGTAACGTTATGTAGCGTGCCTGACATCCACCGTAAAACATTCAGCTTCCTACTGCCTCTCCATGAGCCCCTAAACCATAACCATGTTGTTTTATTGGTATTGACCAAAGACAATGAGCGTGCACTGAGACATTATTTCTTAAATGATGAATTTATTTTAGTTCAAAGAAATTTTCACATTACATGAGCCACAGAAATCCCCCCCAAGCATTGGCTCTACATAAAGCTAATGTGCCAGTACCTGAGAGTTAGTTGAACAGTTGTCAGTGAAATTCAGCCTTGGAAGCAGAAAGATGATCCCAAACACAAAGAAAAGTTGATGCAAGCATCACAGTAACCTATTTCCATAGGTTTCTAAGGTTTTTCTTCCTTTTTAAAACCCAGCACTCAAATCCCACACAGTGGAAACAGTCTGGAGCGTTGGTGTCCTACTGAAACCAAAATTCTCACCAGCAGCCGAGGATGTGCCCGCTAACTTTTGAGGAACCCTGTGCAGTGTAACAGACCTTTGAGGCCTTCCGTATTTCAGCATCCACCCCATCCCTCCTCCCTCTCAGGTGAGCCATGTACAGTTTACAGCTCATTATCAGAGTCTTAGCAAGTCCTCCATATCATCCCAAGGATATAACGGAGAGCATATAAAAGTGGTTTTTTTTTTTAGGGGAGGGGGAGCGAGGGCAGCAAAGGCATTCTTCGGCCAGCTTTTGGGAAGGGTGACTATCAGGAGGACGGGAAATACAGCAGGGATTAGTTAGTTACCTGTTGGTCCGGCGGCAGCAGCGGCGTTGTTCGGCTCAGCCCCGCCGGCCTGAGGAGAGCCCTCAGCCGCGCGCCCCTCCCTCCCCGCCCCGCCCCGCGCGGCCGCTCGCGCCCGGCCCCGGCTCCCTCAGGGCCCGCGCCCCGCCCCGGCTCCCTCAGGCACCGAGGGAACCGCTGGGCCTGCACCGCCGGCAGCTTCTATACACTGCCTTAGGAAACTGCTGTAGGAAAAAGAACCTTTGAGTCGGCGAATACAGCTGAAAAACGTGCTCTCAAGCACACAATCCCTCTCCCCAGCGTCCTTGATCTCAGTAAAAGGCGTTACAGCCTCACACCATCAACCTTTCAACCTTTCCCGAGTCCCCCCTCCATCTGAAGGGCAGCTTTTATGAAAAAATAAAATAAAATAAAGTCCAGCTCTGCTGCAAACCAAGTAAGCCAATTTGTAAACGCAGCTTACCATGACAAAGAACAACTGCTACTCTTTTCTTTCAAAGGTGAATGAGAAAATTCAATATTTTAGAAGAGTTCCCAGGATTTGGTATGATTTTATTTATCCTCGGGGGAAAAAAAAAAAGAAGATAAAATCATTACAAATAAAGGAACTTTAATTCTTGGGTAATACAGAACAGTCCCATCGGTGGCAGAACACCACAGTATTTACAGAACACAGTGCCCGGTGGCAACAAACGCCAGATCATTGTCCTACAGCTGGAATGTCGCTGAAGTCTGTGACATCCCACTGTAAATATAGGTGTTATTAAAAATTACAAACTGTCCTGTAATGACTTTAATAACCTCCTGTGCAGCAGCTCCTGTAAAAAAAAAACAACAAACAAAACACAACAAAAACCAGAAGGTAGTTAGCAGGTCATATTTAAAAACAAGGAAAATGATGTTACTTATCTAGAACTCACTACACTGAAATTATTTCGGAAGTGTCACATACAACTTCTGGGAAGAAAATATGCTTTTCAGTACTTCCTAGTATCAAAGAGGTTCAGAAAGCTGTTACTTCAGAAGTTAGCTTTACATACACTTTGCTGGATATACTTTCTCTCTCTGTCCATGTATGTAAACAGACACACACAAAAACATGTGACCAGACAGACTCATGCTTATTGCAACCTCCCTAAATGAAATCCAGAAGTTCAATTAAAAAATATCATGCACAGCTAAACTGTAAAATAAACTGAAGGGTCACTTCATTGTGATCCATTTGTGTTCTCCTGTACTATGAAATATTCTGTACTTTCTTCAGAAGCTATCTTTACATATTTTCCTACAGCACTGCAAATGCCAAGTTTCACTTAATCAGAAAAAAATTTCTACATCCACAGAGTATTTAATACGTAAAAGCCAAATAAATAAGTTAACTGATGTATCAATTCTGAGCATCCATTAAAACACATTTAGTTTTATTAATTCCCATAGGTTGAATTAAGGTAAGCAATCAAACCCATTTATATTTAATAGATACTTAAAATACATATATTGTGTTAATTTAAAGAAAGATTTGTATGGTGTTAAACTTAGTATTACTACAATTATTTCCTTTGGTTTTAAACTCAAAGCCTTTTTCAAGCATTTCATTTTTCAACACATTTTTAGGCTACTAGAACTGTTCTAAGTTTATATGCGTTCTTTTACTAACTTTAAACCCTTGCTATGTCCATTTTCTCCATATAGCATAGGAGGTCACTTCCGGAGAACAAGGCGGGAGGATTTTGTGATTTTGTTCTAATACTATCTTTGACTACACTCCGTGATTATGGTATTTGCTCTGACAGTGCAAAGTAATTAAAACAGTGGAGATTCTGACTCAAGTATGGAGTAAAGCAGGGTGGTTTATCTGTACAGACCTTAGAAATCCAGTGACATTCTTACCTCCCATGAAGGCAGCAATAGCGTGTGGCTCAGCAGCTCCGTAGCGACAACTGGAGAGCAAAACAACAGTTATTTAGAAGTATTTCAGGTCAGCTTTACTGACAAAGTGACACTTAAGATACAATACTTACAACTCGTGAACATAGTCATCTTTCACCACCACAGACAACCCGTGTTCTTGTAAGAAACTAGTAAGGCATGATTTTAGTTTTCCAATATCATCTTCTACCTGGTAGTTGTAGACACCTGGAAAATGAGTGAACTGTTTCATCACAGAACTGTAACCCCATATTCAAAGTTCATGGATTTAACTGGCAGCTAAGTATTTTATTTTTCTGAAAAAGTTTGTAAGCTGATTAACGTATTAAATTATTAATACTAGACTAATAATAATTGAATATTCTGTTGATGTTACTCATGAGAATGACTAATTATTGCACAGCTGAACTGACTCATTTTAAATTTTCACATCCTTAAAGTTGTATTTGTCGTGGTTTGGGCCAGATTGGCCAATGAGAATGACAGATGATCCCCCCTGCAATTAATGCTACAGCTGTAGTTTCTAACTGGTATTATGGTACCTATTGGACCTTTATATGTCTTTCGATGACGTTAAGTGACTCTGGTGTTGACATACCGGGGTATCTCCCATGCTGCTTATAAAACCGATCCACAGCCCGAAGCATCAAGTACAGCACAAGTTCACTGTCAGGGTTATCCATATGGGAAACTGAGAACAGCAAGAGAACTGGTTAGCTGTCACGGGCAAAATAGCTCACAAAACCATTGCAAGTCGTAAATGCAATTAGAGTAAGTACCAAAAAGGAGTACTTACTGATTTCATCCTTGTTAAAAGTGTTTAAACCGTATTCTTCAGACAGAGATCTGCATCGTACTACTCGGAGAAAAGCTGAGTTGCTGCCTAAGCAGAGGATGCAGAAAGGAGGGCATTACCTACTTGAATGCATCACAATTACTATATCTTTACTAAATAATATACAATATATGGACTTTCGTATCTTATTTAGTGTATATATAGTATTTGCTAAATTTTAGTAAAAACACGAAAGACTAAAACTTACCATAATTCCATTTAACCCTTTCACATTTATTCCACTAGCCTGCAGTATAAAGTCTATTAAACTACATTTAGGTCTATTGATCACGAGTATTTTGGTGAAATATTTTGTGCTCACAACATGCAGCTCTTCTACAGCAATTCAGGAAGCGTGGCCCTTAACTGCAGGTTTCCCTCTTCCCTGCTGCAAAGGAACACGGGTTCTTTCCATCTCCAGCTCTCTCACGTATTCTTAATATTTCAACAGCCCAACTATGAGGGGAAAAGGTTTCTCTCCAATATCACTGCTCTGAAACAACCCAAGGTGCAGCTACTACCTCGCACTCAGAAGGTGAGGGATGCAACTGCTAAGCACTTACTTGGAAAATCCAAATATTGAGTTACTGATTAATAACTACATGAGCATTCAAAAGTTTTTGATCATTTGCATAAACACAGAACAGAATCCAAGCATACTCACAGAACAATTTTAATTCTTTCTCTGAAATGGATTCGGGTGCCTAGAAGAGAGAACATATTCATTCCAGTACATACTATGACCATAGAATTTATATTTTCAGAGATGCATATATTCATTGAGAACTAACTAGTTGCTTTTGTAAAAAAAAAAAGAAAACCTATCCAAAATTGTAAATAATGTATCCCTGTATGCCTTTTATTTTTATACGACCAGACCACAAAAGTGGTAAGTAAAACACACCACAGATACTAAATTTCATTAAAACTTACTTAAGCCTTTTGAAGAGAATGAGGTCATTAAGCCTTCTCTTTTCATATCTGTCTCCTGTGACTTATTTCTGTACAGAACATAAGGGTACAAACATTTTTACCCTGTCAGAATGGCTGTACGTTCGTAATTACCTTG